TTTATGACTCTTAGTTAATCCTTTAATTTCTTCAAGTTTAGACATTATTTCATACTTTTTAAAATAACTAGATTATCTTAATCCTTTTAAAGATGATACTTTTGAAGATTCTATTTATTTACTTTCTGCAATACTAAAATCTTTTTATGGATGTTATTATATATTTTAATCATCATCTGATACAGAAACAGAATAATTAATTTTATTTTAAGTTTTATAAAAAAGAGGTCTAGAAGTCAATATAAGATCTTTTATTTATGTTTAATGAATAGTTGAATCTATTATTAAAAGTTCATTGTTTTAAGATTTAGAAAAAGCATTTTAATTTGAAGTAATAAATACTTATTATTCATTAATAGAACCATTAGGATCATCAATGAACACATTTTCAGATACTGAGAATGCTCCTTAAATCTAACTATTATTTGTTTCTGTATAAGTAAATTTAGCAGAATTTTCATATTTCTTAAAATATTCAAATTTAATTGTATAAAATAAAATTTCTCCATTTAATATTTTTGGTATTACATCTAAAGTAGTTAAATAAGTATTTATAGAATTAGATGTTGCTTCATCTTTATCAACATTTACAACAAAATCTATATTCTCATAAAATCCTGATAATTCATGTTTTTTAAAAACAGGAATAAATTTAGTTATTATTTAATTCTTAAAATAAGCCATAGTATTAATATTCAAAGCTGTTAATACACTTTCTGTTGTAGAAGTAACAATTTTATCTGAATTTAATACCATAACTAAAGGTTGTTCATAAATTGGTTATAGAAAAGTAATAAAATTGATCTCCTCACTTGTAAAACTTACATCAATTGCAAAATCAATTTAATGTAAAGTACCTTTTGTATTATTATAATAGTAATTAATATCTAATCTTCTCATATATTTTGATTCCCCATTAATTAAGAATTTTTTAACTAATCTTTAATGTTATTCTTTAATTCCTGGAGGAATAATTAAATTAATATTCTATTATAATAACTTATTATGACTCATTTTGAATAAAATGGGAGCATTATTAGATGCTCTTTTTATTAAAATTTCTGAATTATAAGTTGAAATCAGATAAACCATTTTATTTGTAAATACAGAAAAATTTTATTTATCATCAATTTTAGTAAGTTATTATTGAAGTAAATTTGCCTTTGTAAATTCATTTAAAATTTCAGAATATAGAAAACATAATACATTTTGAGTTTTTTAATTTGGAAATACAGAATACTATTTTTCCAATTATTTTTAAACTATAGTAATTTATTCAATATATTATAATAGACTTTATAGAGATATCTTTTCTTATTGAGATATTATTTATTATATACGACACTTATTTTTAAGTAAATTAACCATCTAAGTTTACAAAGTTACATTATAATCTTCTAATTTCATTAAATGTTCTACAGCTTCAGATAAACCTTTTTAAGCTTTATTTTAATTTTTTAATTTAGTATCTAATTAAGATAACCATTCTTTAATCATAAGTTCTTTTTTTATTTAAGATAACCAACTCAACTTTTTTATAGAATGCAAAATCATCAATCCTTCATAATACTTTTCTTAATGTGCCAATAATGAAGCATATAAAACTATATCTTCTTTATGATTTGGTAATTGGATCTTTATTGTCTTTAATATCTTTAGATCATAAAAATTAGTAATCAAATCTTCTAAACTTTTTGGTCTTTATTTTATTAGTCTCTCTAAATTCATATAAACTATCTTCTGCATAAACAAAAATATTACAAAATCACTTATATAATTATGAAAACCTATCATCAGATAAACAAAACCTAGATAAATAGTCATAATTTAAATATTCAACATAAGAGTAATTAGAATCGAATTACCCTTTGGAAATTATAATAACAATTACAAAAAAGTTATTAAAGCATTAAAAATTGCTACCACTTATATGATTAACATATTGAATTCATATATAGATAAGTACATTAAAGTAATGTTTCCTATTACTACAAAATAATTCATTAAAGATTTGGTGGGATTATATATACTACTTGAATCAAAATTCAATGTACCTTAAGCAAATATCTATTCAAAAATATAAATGAAAATCAATAGCAATTGAACCAAATAATCCAAAGAACCTCTTGATATTTCAAAAAAGAAATTAAGTAAACCTAAATTAATTAGCTAACCAAAAATATTAATTGCTCTTGAAAATGGGCTTTACACTTATGAAGATAATAAGTATAATAAACATAGAGCTAAAATTACATATTGTATATTGTCCAGTGATAAGGCAATTTAAGGTCTTGCAATGATGCAAAAAAAATATGTATATGAGTACTTCTAATTTTAAAATATATAAGAAAAGTTCCTGAATGATGCTATGATCTTTATTGTTTGGATCAAATAATTATTCATCTTCATTGAATGATAAACAAAGTCTAAGTAATTTTATAGGAATTTATTTCTAATTTATAGTAAATTATTGTTCTGCTTTGAGCCTTCCATTATTGATTGAAATATAAATTAATAATGAAAAAAACTTGAAAATCATAATGATTATGAAATTTAAACTAAATTCATATTAAATAATAATAAGGGTAATCCTCAGTTTCGATAATTATTGGAAATCACGTTTACTAAATCTTTCAGTTAACTTAATCCATCAACTTGTTTTTATTTGTATAAATTTCTAAATCGTTGTTTTTAAAAAGGACGCAAAACGAATCATCTAATAAAATATATTGGGAATGACTGAATATGAATGAAAATCAGAATAACAATTCCTTTGAGTAATCTTATTAAAATAAGAATAAAGATGGAACTACATGACAATATTTCTAAATTTAGGAGGATCAATTCAGATAATAAATTATTCTTAATAAAAATATTTTATTTTATATTTAATAATATAGTATATGTCATTTTGTTAATTACTGATTTATTTTTACTTCTCTAATTGATTTTTATTTAATTAAGTTAATAGATCTATATACTTTGAATTATGTTTTATATAAACATTTAATAAAAGTATAAACTAAATTAAACAAAGCTTATAAGTTTTTTCAACAAAATTTTCATTTATTTTTTTTTAATAATTTTGGTGTTATCTAATATATAAAATAATTGAATTTATTCTTTTGTAATAGATAAAGAAATTGAATTAAAAAGTTAAATAAAATCACAAAGCCATTTATTGAAATTTAAATAGAAATGTAATTTATTAATTCAATTCATGTATAAGGTATTTAATTAATTTTACTTATTCATTCATATGTATATAAATGAAGTATGGGACAAGTGACATTATTATTACAGTTTTAATATATTTTTTTCTAATATTGTGATAATTAAATTATTATGCATTAGAGGATGAAAAGCGATATCAGATTTAATTAACTTAAACTTGATTACTTATAAGGATATAGTTCTAAAATACTAAAATCAGAATAAGATTCAACTTAACCTTCATAAACATAAATTTTTTAAGGAAACCTTCTTGAAAATAAAACAGACAGACAATTATCTCCTCTTATTAATAGTAATAGACAAAGACATAAGTTAAAGTAATGTCAATCTCTTGCTCTTGAAAATGATCCAGATCTTGAAGAGTTTTCTATTTGGGGAGATTTAGAAGAATTGCCAGTCGGAAATACTTAAAATAACAAATTAGTTTCTTTTTTGGAATTATATAAGTATCGATATGAAAAATCAACCAAGAAACCAGTTTCTTGTTACAACGTTATTTTGATGACTAAAAAGTAAAATTCATTTTTATAAAGATCAGACTGATAAATAGACATTCAATAACTAGGTTAAAATATTATGGAATCAACAAAATATAATGGATAGATTTTAGGGATTGGAGTAAATCAGGCAATTTTAATACTATGTGATATTTTAATTTGTTTTAGATTTTGCTCTTAAATTTGATAATTAATATAAATTTAATGGGTAACATGTGTGAATATCATGCAAGAAATGTATTAAACATTGATATTAAAAAAGATTAATAATGAATAAAATCTATAACCAAAGTTGTTAGCATAACATAGATTCTAAGATATTGGAATTTACTTAGATGCAGGAGACATAAAAAATGAAGAAGTAGATGTTATTGTAGCTTAAACAGATTTAAATTTAAAGGTATTAATAATATATGTAATACCAGTTACCTTATTACTTGATAAATAATGTTTCACCTTAAACAAAATAGCAGTTGCTAAAATACATTTAATAGATTAGAGATAAATAAGCAGTATCTCATGGTGATGTTGTACATTCTCATGCTGCAGAAGTATCATAATTGTATTATTATTATTAGCTGGAATTTGATTTTGTATTTTATTGCATTTTACCAAATGAAGATGATGAACCAATGAAATTGGCTAGAAATCACAATCCTAAAAATTTAAACTTGAAATTACCAAAAAATGCTCATTAAAAATATTAGAAATAATTTATTTATGATTGCATGATGACTTGTCTTAAAGTAGCAGAAGAGATGGAGATTACGTCAATATGTTTTCCTGTAATGAAATCAACTAAATTTACAATATCAACAATTGCTACAATGCAAATGATTGCTGTTAAGAATTTTTTAGAAGAAAATGTTACAAAAATAAAATTCTTGAGTTAAGTTAGATTTTGTATACAAGATGATAAAGATTAAGAATTATTCAAATGGGCATTTGATAAAGTATTTATGGATACAGATGATAACAGTGAGGCAAGTGATGAAGATTCACTTAATAATAATAGTGGTGGTAATAGTGGAAGTGGAAGTGCAGGTAATTCTTTGAGTAAAAATGTAATTATAAAGTATTAATTTAAGAATTTATATGAATTATAACCAACAATAAAAAAGCCATAATAAAAGAATTTTGAAGAAGATGAATTTGTTAAGAGTTTTGGTGCTAATTATTATGATAAATTTGAAAGTCCTTAGAGTGTGGGTAGAAAAATATCTATTTGATAATATATTAATACTTTTTATTTATAAATTATTGTTATATATGGAATTAAAAATTGATGAGAAGAGTGATGTCATTAGATAAGAGGAATTTAAAGATATTGATGTTACAAATTGGTATGAATTAGTAGGTATAAGCATATTCCATCTTATTTCTAAGCTATTTTACTATTGAGTGCAGGAGCAAATTTTTTATTGATTAAGATTTTTTAGAGAATCTAAAATTTATTTTTATGGAAAAGAGAGGATTAAAAAAATAATCCATCTAAAATGTTAACTGTAAATTGTTTATTAGTTATAACAATTTTATGTAAGAATCAAAATTATCAAAGTTAAACTCTTTTCATGTTATTATTCAATAGCAGGATTTTTTTTTAGTTAATTTTGGAAATGGAATTGTGACACTTCACTTAAATAATAATTAACAATTTCGCCATCATTTTATATAATCATATAAATTTGTTAAGCATAAACATTGAACCTTACATTTTGTTTTTGCAGTAATTTATGGCTTAAACTATGGAGAATGAAATTAAGAATAGAACAGAATAAATCTCTTTTAGGAATAACTAATATTTTATAAATATTTCTTTCCATATTAATAGTCTTAATTCCTATTCTTACTATTGTTTCATTGATTTTAGAAACATATGTTAATAACATTAGAGAATATTGTTTAGGTGCTTTAACTATTTTAAGTACTGTTTCTTTTGCATTTATTTGTATTATTCTATATTCAAAACTCAAAGATTAATATAGTGTTGGTGATCATTATAGAGCTGTAATTTTTAATATATATAAATTTTAGAATTTAAAATTTTTATCAATAGCAGTAATAATTTGTACTTTGCTTCGACCATCATTTAATTTTTTATTTTCTCAAGAATTCTTTTGGAAATTAAAACCTGGATTACAATGTCTTGTAAATAATCATAGTATAACAAAATTACCTGATTAAGGTTTTACTTGGTATAATATATTAATATATAAATAGGGCAATCTTTTAATTAATCTATTCTTGTATAACTGATTTCACTCCTATTTATATATTATCTTTGTTATTTTCTCCAAATATAACAAAAAGAAAGACTTTGGTAAATGTAAGCGATGGATGGGATACTGGTTTAGAATGATTTATTTAACAAACTTTTTTTAATAAAATGTAAATTTATAATAACCTAAAACAACAATTTTAAGAAACTAAAAGAGGATTCTCTTTATCACCTGAATAAGGATTATCATTAACATAAAATAAACCTCCATTGGTTGAATCAAGATCTATGTGGAATAAAAATGTCTATTTTGTACCTAAATGGGAAAAGAAACATATTAAACATGTTGATAGTAATAATCATACTCCATTTCCTATTCGAAATTACATTAATTATGTGTAATAACATAGTGAAGGATTCTCTAATTAACTCAATCTTGATTTTCTCAAACATATAATTAGACATTTTACTGTTAATTAATGGTGGATAGACTAAACTAAAAAATTCAAGAGAACTATACCAATCAATATATTATAAATGTCATAAAAGAATTCAATAGAATAATTAAATTTGTAAATGTTAATACAAAAGTCATTTGATGATCTTAACTTTTATAATAAAATTCTATCCTCTACTAAATTACCTCCAATACCACTTCCTTAAAATTAATTACATGAATATAAATCATCAATAACATATTAAGTTTTAGATTTAAATGCATCTGAGTAATTCTAAAATAAATCATTGTTTCAATTATAAGACATCTTTATTAAAAGAATATTGTAATTATTATCAGAACGTGGATTATAGAGTCTTGGTTATTATGATTACCTTACATTTAAAAAGATAATGGAAGATTAAAAATAAGGAATTTGTGATGCATAAACATTCATGAAAGTTTTAGAAATAAAGCGACTATTTAATTAAATAGATCATATATCTCAATAAAATGAATAAATCACAAATTAATGGAAATAAGAAGATTAAATGAAATAAGTACAAAATCCTTAAAAATTTAGAAGATGGAATTAGGAAAAAACTTTGTTTTCTGATGAAATCTTAGATTTAGCAAATTATGTTGGATTAGATATCAATTTAAAAAAAGCTAGAAAAAATTATGAATTAAATAAAACAGAACAATAATTCAATGAACTCATAATTATTGGAGATTAAATATCAATGACTGCTTAAAAGATTATATTAGATACTTAATCTAAATTGTCAAAATTTGAATATGAAGTTGTATAATCAATAGAATAAATAGATTAAATTTAAAGAGATCCTATAGATTAGAATATTAAATCAAATTCAATCTAATAAATAGATTAAATATAAGATAAAAATACTTAATATTTTAATACGGAATCATCAAAAAATATACATAATGTTTAAATTGTTGAAAGGTTTGATAAACAACAATAAAATCTATAAGAATATTAAATATAAAATAATATCGTAAAATAAACTAATCCTTAATAATTATCAATTGATAGAATATAAATATAAAATTAATAATTACCTACAAAATAAAAAATTAGCTATAATACTCCACCATAAAAAAGAACTCTTATAATTCCAGAAAATAATATTAAATCACATAATTCTTAAAAGAAATAATAATAATAATAATAATAATAATAATAATAATAATAATAATAATAATAATAATAATAATAATAATATCGTAAATTTCATTAAAGCAGTAATGAAAGAAAATAAAGTATTATCAGATTAGATGAACAACATAATATAAAATAGAATAGAAATCTTTAATCTCAATTATCATAACAATCACTAAGATCTTATGAAGATTTTATTAGACCTATAGAAGATTTATCCTCAACTAATTTACCATCTAATTAATTACATAATTTTCATACTACAAGTGAAATTAATTAAAATCTAAGTACTCATTAAAATAGATAATCATAAATTATTACTAGTTACAACAGTATAAGTCTACATTAGAATAGAAAAAATGTTAACAAAAATAATGATCTTCGTTTAATGAAGGAATTTATAAAAAAGAATAAGAAGTATTAAACTGAACTTGAAGATAAAATATTTAATAGTAGTTAAAAATAAGAAGGAGAAGTATTTGATGAAACAAAATATAATCAAAATTTCAATTAAATTAATTAGTCTCAAGATTTAAGTGATGATTTGGATCTACTCCCTTCTCTTACTTAAAGAGATTAAAAAGCTTATAATCCATAAATTTAAGAATCAGAGATTCTTAATTCAATAATGCCTGAATCTATCTCAAATAATACTACTGCAAGAACATTAAGAAATACTAGTAATTATAATTCTGTTCATCCTAAAAAATAGAAATATGAACATTAAGAACAATTTACAAATGATAAACATGAATAATTGTAAACTATAAATGAAATATAAAGAAAGATATCACCAAGTTTGATTAGATAATCTTCAATCAAAAATGATACAAAATTTACTGAAAATTAATAACAATAAAAACAATTAAAAGATTTTCAAGGGGATAATAAAGTATATAATTAATTACATTCTTAAATACCAGAAATAATTGTACATCAAGAACCAAAACATGATGAATAAATAAATAATAATTATTCTTAAAATTCTATTGATTTACCATCATAAAGAACAAAAAACACTTAAGGAATTAATGAAAAATCTAAAAGTTCTCTTAAATCCTCTATTAATTTTTCTGATAATAATAAATAAATTATAAAAGATCATTAAAAAGTTGAATTAATAAATAAATCTTAAGATAATTAATAAGAAAATAAAAGAAATAAAAATAAATTTGTTAAATAAGAAGCTTTAGATGAATCAATGGAGGATGAATCAGAATATGATTCAGAAGATTGTGAAGTTGAATAATTTAGTAATTTTCATATTAAGAAATAAAAGAAAAAGAAAAAAGCAAAAGTTTAATCATTATCAACCTCTAAATTAGAAAGAATGGAAGATCATAGAAGATATTTACAATTTTTGAAAGAAGAACTCAAAGAAATGTTAGATAAAAAAGTAAATTTAAAAGAAATTAAAGAACATATTAATATAATTCTTAGTGAAATAGGAGGTTTAAGTTTAGATTAAGAATTAGATTATTACATATAATTATGTATATATTGAATATATTTAGATAAATCAAGAGTTTAAGAATTGAATTAAGTAAATTAAGAATCTCATGAAATTCGATTTCAAAATTAATAACCAGTTTGTGAATTGAGATTAAAAAGGGAAATTAAAGGATTAAAATTTGCCAAAGATTGTGATAGAATAACAAAGTTAAAACCTACAGATATCGAAGAAATCATAGATACTTAAAGGTATTTATTTATTATAAATATATTTTTTAGATTAATAAAAATAGAAGAAGAATTAAATGATTAGGATTTTCCTACATATTAATATACACCTTAATATCGCTATGAATCTAGGCAATCTCCATTATAAACTAATATTATATAAGTTTCATTGGATGTTACAAGAAGCCAAACACCAAACAAAAAAAGAATATTCAGAACTAATCCAAGATTTGAATCTGAACTTACTACTTATAATTAAAGAAAGAAAACACCAATTAAAAATATAAAGAAGTAAAAATAGTCAAAACATATATAACATATTACAATTAAGAAAGATCCTCTTAATGATAATTTTCCTTATCTGAATAAATACAAACCAGAATTATTGAAAAGTATCCTAGAGGCTCGTATTAGTTTAGAATAATTGATTTGATTTTTATTATTAAGATATATTTCTTATAATTATTATAATTAAAAAGATTTTTATAGTTTATTTTCATTAAAAAATTGCAAAAGTTTATTTTTCAAATGGTTGTATTGAAATTAATTAAAAAAACAAAAGGAGTATATATTATTGTTATCCATATATTTTAAATATATAAAATAATCAACAATCCTAAACTAAAGGTTAATGAATATTTGAATGTTCTACAGATTCATGAAATGATTATTCAGCATTTATGATTCTATTCAAATTTGATTCACAACCTTAATAGGCAGCTTCTAGTTATTGTATATCCATAAGTTAGGCTAATTATTTAATTTAATAGATTACCTTATAATGAGATTGCATTTTTAAAGTCTTCAGAATTCTAGCAGAATAATAATTTATAACTTAATTCTTCTATGAAAACAATTAATACTAATTAATATGCACATTTATTTGTAGATATCTTATTAATAATTAGATTCCAAATATTACATAAGGGCATAGATTATACTAAACTAGTATAAAAGGATGAAAGTATTTCAAAAAAAACATTTTCAACTGCAATATCATAATTTTTACAATGTTAAACAATTTCTTTATGCAAAACTTCCATATATTACATTACAATTTCTTATGGACAAAAGAGAGTGTCTTCCTTAACTAAAGGAAAATGAACACTTCTCATTAATTCAACAAATCCAGTAAAAAGCCAAAATGCCTATGCTTCTGAATCATATTTATTACCAAAGACAGGTTTACTTAGATCATATAAAAAATGTGGATGTGTGATACATATGAATTTATTTGCAATTTAAAATAGTATTGTCAAAAAGGAGACATTCAACTAAATGGTTCTTACATTACAATAGATTAAAAAAGAAGTTAATACTCCTTTACATTATATATGTTGATTTTATTAAACTAAAGGTAATTTATTCATAAAGTCATCTACATCTTTTAGTAAAGGTAATCTTAAATTAGGAATAGATTTTATTTAATAATAGATTTAAACATTATCTGTAACATCAGTAAATTCTAAGTAATTTCTTTTTAGTATTTCAGTAACAGGCTTAACTACTTTTTCCAAACAATTTAATTATGTAAACCAATTTGCTGGTTAACATTATGGTTATAGACATATATTTTCTATGTATAATCTCTAATATAAATTTTATATGTCTTCTGAATATCTTTCAATTTCTAATCCATATTTTACTGTTTCTATAATTGGTAGCTAAACGTATTTAAATTAATTGTACAGGAGTTCTTTATTCAATCATTTTTATGCTAACTTTTCTTAAAACAGCATTCAATTATATATATTTTAATCTATCTAGAAATATGGGATCTATATTGGAATGTTCAAGTAAATCCATCTCTATAAAAATCTTAGATTTATCATATTCAAGTGCAATCCAAAATGAGCGACCTTCATATAAATATTTAATCAGATCTTAAAATTAAATTCTCAAGACTTTTGATGAAGTATTAGTTCCTTTAATATTTAATTTAATTTACTGATTGTATCAATAACTTAAAAATCGATATAATCCTTAAAACCCAAATTCTCAATTTACATGTAAGTCTTCCCTTATAATCCAAGTAATCCATCTTTAAAACCCCAAGCAGTATAATCTCTTCTTCTTTATTGATTCATTTATGCAAGTAAACGACAAGTAAAATATGGACTTTATTTAATATTATATTGTAATCCATCTAATATTTTAATACATTCTATATCCTTAGTTTCTTCTGGTCTCTAAAATGAATTTAGAAATATACTTCAGATATGAATCTTAATTCTAATAATGGTCTTATTAATTATATATTATTTTGAATATACATCCTAATTATTTTAATAGAGAATTTTTTAGGATTTGTATGATAAATAAAATGAGATCTTTGTTACCAACCAATTAAGAATTTTTATATTACTAAATTCTTTGGTTAAATATGATTTTCAATTAAATTTCCTAACATTTGAATTCTCAATTTCTCTTTTCTTAATCTCTCTTATTCTATTTGATCTTTATTTTATTGTAATTATTATTATTTTTATAATGACAATTATTATTATTAATCTTATTAATCCTATTCATCTTTTAAATATTTTTGACTTTTTTTCTACCAAATTTTAATAAGAGAACCCATCAATATTCTTTCTTATTAAATTAAATAATTTGCATCTATTTATGCTCTCTTTTTTTTTAACTTATTCATTTCTATAGCATATTACTCTAATTATTAAGCAAATTTTAATGCCCATATGAAAGTAAATTTATCTTCATATTCTTGATAACAATATCCAAAACATTTAGCTAACTATTTTTATTTTAATTATAGAAGTTTTTCAATTATCAAATATCTCTACCATTTAAGTGCTTGATTTTAATCTTTCATATATATAAAAACTCTTGTATGATCTTTTTCAAATTCAATTGATAATCTAGCCATATCTCCTTATTTATCATGCCAAGTATTTTAATGATTTACTTTATTTTCCACTTGTATTGATTTATAAATTGGAAATTGTTTTACAGGTTTATGATCTTTCATTTAAAAAAGTATATGCTTATCAAATTTTACTTATCTCTCTAAACTACTTCCAATAACTCTACTTATCTTATACATTTTTAATTCTTATTTGCATTATTCACTATTCAAACAAAGATCATTTGTCAAATTTTCTGCAATAGATTCTTATATAATTTATGAATCCTCTTATAATTACTATTTAAATGAAGCAATAAGAAGACTATGATATTGATGTTATTAATTTATTAGCCATCCTGCATGAATTTTCTCCTCATTACACATTTAAGATTAGTTTTTCATTCAATTAATAATATTTATATTATACAAAAATTGGCAAAGACCTAAATGAAAATTTCAGATATTATTTATTTTAATGAAAATTTTATTGTTTATTAATCAGAGTAACTATTATGAAGAAATTTTAATATAAATCTTGTTTACCCTTTAAGCAACAGGAATTGGCCTATATTTAGATCCACTTTATTCAATTATATATAATTGGATATTCATTTTTGCTTTCATTATGTTTGCATTCTATTACCCTAAAGCTACATTATTTAGATTTTGGTATCATCATCATTTTAAGATTGCTTTACCAATTTTAATTTAAAATCAACAATTAGATATTACAAGCTTATTTAATGTACTACTTATTATAATACTATCAATAATACTTTTATCCTACACCGAAAAAATTGGAGAAATTCAAATATATAAGGCTATAAAAATATTTAATTATACTTTTATCTTAATTGCATTTTCAATACATCATTTGAACAATTTTGTATTCCTCATATGCTTAATAGTATACGATGGTCTTATCATTCTTTAAGTTTTTGGATTATCAATTGTCACAAATTAAGAATTTATCAAATTTTAAACCTTAACTATAATATCAATGACTCGTTTTATAGTATTTTTAACACTCTTTTTTATTCAAGTCAAAGACTTACTATTAGTGATTCCCTTACTTTTATTTTTATCGATTGTCTTGTTAAATAAGTTCATCCATCAAAAACTATAACTTATCTTATAATAATAGCCATTCTCATTAAGTTCAATGATCTTATTACAATTCACATATTAATTAGGATTATACATAGGATTGTTATACATATCTTAAATACTTGTAACACATTCAAAAGATTGCAATCGTCCTGATTGTTTTTGTAATAAAGAAATTTCAATTAATCAAGAAGAAACTTGGAAGAGTCCAAAAACTATGTTAAGATAAAGTCTTAATGAAATTCTTTGTGAAATCATAAGATTATATAAATTCTAATAAATGAGTGATTCTGAGGAATATGTAATTATAAAATTAATAAAAAGCTTCTTTTATTAAGTAGAATAGAAATTGAATATAGAAATGATAAACTCTTTGAAACCTTAATAAGAAGTTCTAAATTAAGTAAAACAACTATTTTTGGATATACTATATTTCCTTATTAATTTCGAATTTAAGGTCATCGTGATATGTTTTATCATTAATTATTGTCTAAAATAGAAGGAGTTAGACTTAATAGTTATATTTATTATACATATTGTAATTTAGTTGAATAAGTAGGATAATTGATTGTTAAATTATTGAATTAAAGACAATAGATATTAACAATGTTTACAATTCAATACTAAAATCCTCTTTATTATTTGTATCATAATAGATTGTTTTAGTTTATTAGTTAATATGAAAAATGTGAATCTTAATTACAATAAATTTTAAAATTAAATCCACAATCTTGTGTTACATAGAATTTAGTATAAGCTCTATATTCAATGGTTACATTTTAAGAAGAGAAATTAAAGTAAATAGAAGTAAATCATAATTTGATGACTATTGAAATTGATTCTCTATGGAATACTCTAAATGATAGATAATGTTGTTATGTATAATGCAAATATGATAAAGGACTGGTTATGATTAATCATTCAGTGATTTTTACTTAATTGATGGAAGGTAAAGTGTATTAAATATTTAAGAAAATGGTATTAAGTCTGATTTTTTAGGATAATATATTGATAAATTTATATCTAGTCCATTCAAAGAAGTTCATCATAGATTTATAAAGAGATTAATAAATGAGGGTAAACCAAGATTATTAAATAATGGAATTTAATAATTTTTTATAAATACAAATAAAGGATACCTGAAATAAATAGATAGTTTAGTTAGACTTGGTTAAAGTATGGAATATTTAACTTTTATGACTATTATGGGATATAAATAAGAAGAAACATGTGGTAAGATTTTATTGAGTAGTTTTGGCACTATATATTCTTATTCAGAATTAGCTGTAAAATAATTATATCTTGATAAAATATTAAAATTACATCATAAAGTACATGTAAATTTGAAATTATGTATACCAAAATCTTAAAATATAAATGAATTAAATGATGGATTTATTTTAATACCTAAGACAAATTTAGTTTCATAAGATTCAGTATAAAATACAATTTCAACAAGTAAA